ATATGAAAAATCCAGAAGAGACAAACACAATATGCAATTGGCTCTCTGTATCCACGAGTTCCACATCTGTGAATCTGACCAAGCAGAGATCCAAAATATTCAGGAGGAAAAACTACATCTACTGAACAGGTACAGATTTATTATTACTGTTCCCTAAAAAATTATTTACATAGCATTTACACTGTACTAGTTATTATACGTAATCTAGAGATACTTTAAAGTATATGGAATGAAGTATGTGTAAAGGTTATATGCAAACACTATGTCACTTTATTTAAGGAATTTGTGTTTTGCTATCTATGAGGAGTTCTAAAGCCAATCACCCACAGCCGGGCATGGTGGCACACGCCTGTCCCAGCACTCGGGAGGCTGAGGCAGGAGGATTGTTGTAGGTTCGAGACCAACCTGGGCTACACAGTGAGTTCCAGTTCAGTCTCAACTACATAGTACGACCCTGTCTCAAACAAACAAACAAAAACACAAAATAAAACCAATCACCCACAAATATTGAGGGAAGATTTTACCTAAAAAAACATGAATAGTTGCCTGGCACAAGGGATTGGAAGGCAGGACCCAGAAAGGTGACTACTAATGAGGACTAGGTTTCCTTGGGGGATGTTGAAAAAGTTCTAAAACTATATTGTGGTGATGGTTTTGCATGTCTGAATATGTAAAAATTACTGAACTGCACAGTTTAAATGGGTGAGTTTTATGGTATTTAAAATACATGTCAATAAAGGTGAACAAACAATTATACTGAGCAAAGACCAGATCTAAAAGAGTACATACATTTTGTACCCACAAATAAGTTCAACAGGCAGAACTATAGTGCCAGAAATTGGAATTGGCTGCAGGTAAGAGATGAGGGAATGAGAGAACTTTAAAACTTTTAAAAGATTATTACATATTACCCTATATATGGGGTGATAAAAATGTATTAAATGGGTAAATACATTTGTCAAAATTTACTTAACTCCACATTTAATATTTAGCTATTACACAGCATGCAAATTATCCTCTAATAAAAGCTGGAAACAAAGAAAAATCCAAAGCTGAGATGTACAGGGGGTCCCTGAATAATGAAATCTAACAGCACTCCTAGATTTGCTGACTGAGGAAACTTAGAAGTCTCAGCATATTGTCATACACAGTGATGATTCACTACAGAGAAAGCATAAAAAACAAGATGAGCAAAGGAAAAATGTACACAGAACAGAGACCAGGGATATCTGATGAGAGCTTCTACGAGTTCCCTCTTCGTGGAGTCACATAGCACATGTTTCATTCTTCCAGTACCAAGCTGTGACAATACCTATGAAATGCCATCAGCCATAAGAAACCATCAGTCTGCTATAGCTGGCTCTTCCATCACTAAGACACGATGTCCAACACCAATAACTTAAAAGAGGAGAGGTTTAATTTGGCTCAAAATTTCAGAGGATTCAGTCAATGGTTGGCTGGCTTCAAGGCAGCATCACACTAAGAGAGGGTGGCAGAACAAGCATGCTGATACTTTAATAAAAGCTGGAAACAAGGAAAAATCCAATGCAGAGGTGTATAAGGGGCCAACGAATAAAGGAATCTAATACCACTCCTAAGTCTGGTGACTGAGGAAAGTTAGAAGTCTCAGCATGTTGTCATACTCAGTTACGATTTACTATAGAAAAAAGCATAAAAAACAAGATGAGTCCACAGAGGCTGCAAAGCAGAGAAAGGCAACAGCACGAGACAGCAAAGGTCAAGGGACTAAATAGAGTACCCAGGGCCACACCTCCACGATCCACCTAAACACAACAAGATGTGTGCTTCACCAATCTGATAGGCATTTCTTAATCCCATAAAGATCATGTATCCTGATTACTTCACCCCATGTCAAGTTGACACAGAAATATTTCCTTAAACTATACTTAATCTCCAAATAAAAACAACAGGTTCATAATTTCATCTGGCACGATACGCCTATCCTGAAATTCGCAACCCCACTCCCTTTCAAAGGTATAAATCAAAATCTCCTCTGAGAATCAAGGCAAATTCTTAGCTGTGAACCTCTGTAAAAATCTAATGCAAGTTACAAAAGCTCAAGGTTCAGTGGTACAAGGTAAATTGTCCCATTTCAAAAGGGTGGAATAGAGGATAGGAAATAATGAGACCAAAGTTAAGACCAAAATGCAGCAGGGCAAACATTAAGTCCTATACCTCCATGTCCAACATCCTGGGTACATGATGGTGAGATATGAGTTCCAAAGGTGTGGGTGGCCACACTCCTATGCCCTTGATGGTTACAGCCAACATGGCCTCTCTGACTGGTTCTCCTGACAGCCTGTAGCTTTCCTCAGCAAATGTTTGATGTTCCTGGCATCTCTAACTCTTTGGGATCTCTACTGCACGTTTGGCTTCATTCCCACAGCTTTACGCAGTGCCCTCCTAAGGGTCCCTTGAGTGGCTTTTCAGGCCTTCCTTTGAAATCTGTTTGAAAGCTTCCTTTATTTCACAATTCTTGCATTCTCCATATCCAGAAGACCAGCATCACGTGCATGAGGCCAAGGTCTGCTAGCAGCTCAAGCAGTAGCCAGTATTCCTCTACAGACTAAATAGCTGAGCACAAAAAAATGAATCTTGGAAAACCATTTCTATAGGAGGCCCTTTTCAAGCAGAGATAACAGGATATCTCTGTAAATGAAAAGATGAGCCTTCAATTGTAGGGTCTTGCTGATTTAAGAGATGTCTTCAAGGCATAATTCTTTTTCACCCTGTACAAAGCATTTGGCTACATTTTTAATGATCTTAACCTCTTCAGCAATTCTATCTTCTTTCTGCAAATTATTCTGCTTAGTTTTTTTGTTCCCAATTCTCACTATAACCTGGCTAAATGTAACCAGTAGTATGCATGCCACAACCTGAACACTGGGCTGCCCTGAAATTTCCTCCACCAAATCAATCAGTCCAGTGCCCTTAATCTCAGACTCCTACAAAGTCTAAGGATATGAGCAAAATATATTTAACTTTTATGCCAAAGTGTGACATTCATGGCTTCTAGTGAACTGCCAATTGAGCTCTTCTTCCCAACTGAAGGCTCCTATCAGCCTTCTATTCTTCTGAGATCTGACCAGATAATCTGTCAGGCTCTTTACAGCTTTCTAAAGTTTCTCTGACCTGCATCTCCAAACATTTACAAATAACTTCTACAATCCAGTTCCAAAGGTTTTGAAACCACACATTCAGGTACAGTTACAACACCCCATGTTTTTTATTAGTCCGCTTTCCAGTCACTAGATGACCATACATTAGATGCAGACAGATTTCATTTAGTTCATGATGTCAGCTCATGGCCTGGTGATCCCAAGGTAGAAACATTATGTAAGAAGGGTGTGATAGAGCAAAGATCCTTAGTTTATAGTGACCAAGAAGTACAACAAAGAAACAGGGCCAGCAAGAAAAAGAGCAAGGAGTCTAACTACTACCCAAGTTCACACTCCATGAGACATCCTGACACATTCAGAAGTGTGCCTTAAAAATATGCTAGGCCCTTCTCCATCCAGGCAAGCTGAAAAATCACAATTAATGGTCCATTCACTCTACCAAGAGTTGATCATTCAGGTACTCTCTGCCTAGGACAGACTAAGATTCCAGACCCCCAGAAGGAAAACAAGCTTTGACATACACTACATTGTGTGAACAAACATTTAAAGAGTTTAAAATAATGAGATGCTCTTATCATTTCAAAATTCAAGTTCCTCATGGTAGTACCAACCTTATTAGCAGGGCCTGTAAGGTCTATAAGCATGGCTTATATGGGCTTGCTCTGTTCACCCTTTTCTGCATAGGTATAATACCACAATTTATTCTAATTATAATAATAACAATGAGAACAATATGGAAAGAGAAAAATAAAGCAAATGTGTCAAAATTTTAATAATTGGTGAATCTGTAGGAAGATTATTTTAATAGGGGTTAAGTATTCTTACAACTGTTTTTAAATCTGGAATTATGTCAAAGTATAAAATAAATAAAAAATTAAGAGAATGAAGGATTTTATCACTAACAAAAAATTTAAGTAATAAAATATCAAGGAACAACTTCAATTGAAAAACATGAGGTTACCATAAAGAAAACTACAAAATTCTACTGAGATATAAAATATTTGAAAAGAATTATGTACCGTTTTACAGAAAGCAAATAATACCTTTCAATTATTCCTAAGCTTTTATGAGTTGTTCATGGATTTCATAAATCCAGCATCCACTTTCTCATTTCTTGTAGAGGAAATTTCTCAGGCCTGGCCTATTCCATGATCAGTCCATACAGAACACCTATCACAGTTCAAATGTGGCTGACCCTGCCCTCCACAATTTCCAAGACCATTACCATCATCCTAGCTGGCCACAGGACCTGGATCGGAGATAAGAACCATACCTAAGGAGCAGCCAATCAGTTAAAATTCAAGAAAAATTTCTTTTCCGGGTTGCTACATGAAAAATGAAGTTCAGCTACTCAGGTCATCTTCTCTGTCATGATGGAAAAAACGAGGGAGAAGACTGAAGCACAAATAAGCAGAACTCCAAAAGACAGGACCTGGATATAGCTTTACCTTGAGTCACCGTATCTCGGGAATTCCACTGACATAGTTAATAAATTACTTTCCTTTTTATTATGTGGCTAAGTCCATAATAGGATTTTGCCTGTGATGATGGTATAATCAAGTTAAATCAAAAATTCTAAAATTAATAAGCATATTAATCTCATATCATATCATAAGCTTATCAATTAAACACATTGATAAAATAACATTAAACAAACTCTAAACCCTAAACCTACTGTATGTCTTTATAACTGAGTTTATGATGTCAAAAATATCACAAATTAATGATAGATAAATTACTGAACAATTATCAGTTCTGGGGAAACTATTTTAACAAAATAAAATAGAGGCTTGACCTAAAATTCTCTAAAAATAATTGCCTAAAATAGCTCAAATGAAAGGGAAAAACACCAATACATACCTAAGTTTTTTTCCAGCCACTGATGTCCTTCAATTAGTTGGTCAATTAAGGCAAAATAATGTGGAGTAGCTTCATCAGGCATAACCCAGCCACCTGTCACAATTTCCAACTGGCCATTTTGTAGTAAACTAGGGAGATAATAATAATAATAATAATAATTATAATAATAATAATAATAATAATAATAAGGCTATATTAACAAATACTATATTAAGAAAAGTCCAAGCAACAATTTAAAATAACATAACATTTAAGGACAGCTTTTAAAATAGCCACAATCTATGTTAGTTGTTTAAAAAGTTGTTTTTTTCAATCAGTGAATGAATTTCACTTCAAAGCCCCAGTGATAGATAACACACCTCTAGTAAAGTGCCTCGGGTGACCCCTCCATCCCCAGGCAAAGCTGGGGAGATCACATCTGAGGTTCTTCTCCACAGAAGTACAATACCCACATATTCACAAAAACTTCTGACATCAGAAGCCACATACGATTTATTTCTGAGAGTTGCAGGGGGCCTAGCAACCTTTTATTCAGGGTACATGCTTGATGGGTGTTTACAAAAGGGCTGTCATTTAAAGGATGGCTGTTTCAGTATTCCAACATTAACAAAAAAAATCAGTACTGACTTTAATCCTTATAACACTGATAAATTAATCATGCACATTACTCCAAAAAATATAATTAAAACACTTTGCTCCCAATCTAGTTAAAATGTAGGCTAATTTATTTTTTATTTAGCCCAAAAGTCAAACATTTCATTATTTGCCTACTGTATTATTCCTTTATCATATCATACAAAGCAACAAGATATCCATCTCTAGCAAAATAGAATTATTATAAGAACTTTTCTCTGAAAAGGAAAAAATAATAAAATATTTAAAAATTTGAAAAGTGAGTTCAATCCCTGGTACCCCCCAAAAAAATTTTTTTTTGAAAAGTGTCTGATAAAGTATAAAAGTCAAGAATTCAAGCAAATACCTTAAGTTTCATAGACCTATCAGTTTGCAGCAAGATGATTTGGACAATAGTATAAAATTTCAGAGAGAACCAGGGAAATTTTAATAAGTGGATAGTCAATATATCACCAGATACATAAAACTGGCAGTTAGCTAAACAGCCAGATTTAGTTGAAGAAAGTGAAAGACACAAAGGATAAATATTTTCCTTAAAAGTGTTTTACAGAAACCCCAGCATTAACACAGCATCTGATTTATTCCAGCAGATACTGGATCATACAGTGACTGAGTAGACAATAGACAAAATTTACCCCAAATTAAAAATTCCTTGCATAAAATACAAAGGTTAAATTCATATAATCATGGGGACTGCCAACTAATAATTTCAAATATAGAATATGATGACTCATTGCAGTATCTAAAGAAACTAAAATGATAAACTTCAGATTCTCAATGGAAGAAATCGAGAACTTATAAAAAAAACTAGAAATTTTTAAAAATTATATTTCTTCCAGAACATAAATAAGCCCAAGGTTATTATATTCCACTCACCCACGCAATGAACTTTGCCTCTTAGAGCTCATGGACCTGACTGTCCCTTATGCTTTATGACCAACAGTGCCTCACAACCGGAGATATGAGAACAGAAAAAAAATCAGAAAATCTCATGTGGAAACTCAACCATCACTGTTTTATATTCCAGTAAACATCCTTTGGAAAATTTCAGACATGAATTGGTCAAACGCAAATTCTATGCAGATTTTGAATTAAGATCTAGGAACCACTGGTTTAAAAAACAAAAATTTAAAAAAGAAATCACCCCCCAATGGAATTTTTCTTTTTCATCAATGTTTAATTTTGCTGCATAACTCCTGCCCCAACAGGCATGAATGGTACCCTAGGAAGTCAACAGAACAAAGAATCGCACATTATACACAGTAGCTAATTTTCCCAGTTCCATTGTAATTAATACACCCTTCCCCTTCTGAGGATGCCTGAGATGCTACTTTAAATGGTACCCAAGTATCTATACACAATCGTTGTTTTAAAGACTAAGCCTCCTGCTAATTTTCTTTCAGCACTTCCTTATTTTCTTCTCTGTTTCCCAACATGGCTGGTTCCAGCTGCCTTCATTTCAACTCAAACATAACTCATCCAGAGAAGTCTCCACGAATACCCAAACTAATGCTCCACTGCACCCACACACTCAGTCATGTCATGGCCTTTATCAAGACCCAAAGCGTCTCCTCTTTCCTTCTCCTCACGCCTATCCACCATTAGAACAGAAACTTCAAGACAGCAGGGAGTAGACACTCAGTTTGGTTCACATTTCCATGCTCAGCACTGAGAAGCTTGGTTTGAGGAATGAATGAATGAGGTTCTCAGTATAATATTCATATTTACATAAAGTTGTATGACATCAAGCTCACTAATATAAAAATGAATTGGGAAGGGGAGAGGTCAGTAAGAATGGAGTCTCAGTGACAGGGATGAAGTAATATGTCTAGAATATGGTAATGGCAAAAATATGGAGGAGGAAGAAGAGAAAGGGAACATGCCATGAAAAAGTAGGAATTGGGAAATGATGAGAGCTACAAGAATTACAAAGAGTATGGCTTGGGTGTCTGGCAGAGGGGCAGTATTAGAACACAGGCAGTGAGCAAAGTTGAGAAGGTAAGTCACTCTACTGTAATGAATGTCAATTTGACCTGGGCTACTTGATGAATGTAGGATATATCCAAAAGGAATGACCCGCACTAGAAAAGCTTAGGAAAAGGGACCTATATAAAAGTTAAGTTTTAGGATATCTAAAAGAGAATAGGTAAGGATGGGAAAAATGAAATGGAGTCAAAGGTCAATTACAAAGATTTAAAAACAAAAACAAAAGAAGATTTTACACTTTTTCTTTCTCCTCAGTACCAGGGATTGAACTTGGGTCCTTGCCCTTCTGAAATAGGCAGTGGAACCACTGAGCTAAATCCCCAGCCTAAAAACAGATTTTACACCAGAAGACTCTTAAAGGCCGGAAGTGACATAAAGTATTTACTGCATTCAATAAAAATGCTTGCCATGTGACTGTTTAAAATATAAATGGGCCGGGAATTTAGCTCAGTGGTTCTGGCACCTGCTTCGCAAGTACAAGGACCAGAGTTCGATCCCCGGTACAAAAAAAAAAAAATTAATAAACACAAAGAAACTTCTGAGGTATACAACTTTGCCCTTCATTTCAGAACATATATAAGCATGTAGGTATTTGATTAATCAGAGAAAAATGCAAATGATACCAAAAAATGTGGACAACTTTTAAGTATTAAGACCCATAGCAATGATCTTCATTATTTAAAGATAGCTCCAAAGAATAGGGCTGAACACCTTACAAAAACACTGTATCAGGAAATACTTTTTAAAAATTTACAAGCTCTGTACTATATTTACAACTTTTCTAGAAATTTAAAACTATTCTTAGAGGTTACTAAAATAGTGATGAATAATAGAAATATCACAACTCTAAATAATGTCATAAAATACGGATTAAACAACATTCAATCTGTTGATTTTAGACAAGCAACCTGAGAGAGAGAGAGAGAGAGAGAGAGAGAGAGAGAGAGAGAGAGAGAAGGAATATAGGAATATAGTGGTAACTACTTAAATATTGAATTTTACTGGACATGCACTTGTACTTCCTGAAGCTCCAGTCCTCCGGCTCTGTCAGTTCTGTGTTACAAGTTATGTTGTGAAACCATTAAAGATTTTTGCATAACTTGCAAACAAAAAAAAATATTTACAAGTAATAATGGAAAAGCAATGTGAGCCTACAAAAAAGCATCATACTTAAAATTGGCAGTGATAATAAAATTGAGATACACGATAACTGTATTTTAAGGCTTTAGTAATTAAAATAATGAGAAAAGGTATACACACAGAAAAATTTACTTAGAACAAATACAGGCACTTTCATTCACTTAGTCTTTAACAAGCATCACCCAAGCCACTTCTATGAAAGTCAAAGGAAAACACAACCAAAACACACATGCCTGCCCCTAAAATCTAATTAATATCGTTTCTACTTAGACTTTTTTATTTCTGGCAAACTTTTTATGTGTACACTTCATGATCATTGCTATTAAACATGAGACACGCAGACACAAGGGAAAAGGCCTGGGCAAAGTGAGAAAAACAAAGGAGTACACACACCCATCAAATCCAGAAATGGGAAGCTGGGCACTAACTTTCAATGCTTGCACTCACTTTTTTTTATAACAGTGAGTTGACCTGTAACTACTGGTAAAAGACATTAACATACTTCTATATTTCTGCTTTAATTCTGGGGAAGCTTAAGGGAATAACTGATCAAAATTAAACTGAGCATATCTGTCACTGCTCATTTTGCCCAAGATGCAGAATTTACACTTAAGAATTTACTGCAGAGCACAAGAAGCTGCAAATCATTTTCTGTGAGTGTTGTTCCTCCCCCACATAGACTCATCAGACATTTGGAACTTGGTCACACAGAGGGATGCACTCAAAGAGCTTTTCTCCCTAATGAGGAAATTGTTACAGACAACTTAGTAGCAAACAATGCATCATTTAGCAAGCTTCAAAGAGCCACAAATTAATTTCACATGAGAAAATGAGTTGAATTTGTAATCACACATTTGGGGAAATATGAAATAATACAAGATGATGTACAGGGTTTCAATCTTAAATAAAAAAAAATTAAATAGAAAACTCAAAAAAGATGGAGGCTACCAAAGAAATAATTTGTACCTTAAGGACATTTACATTAATTCACATTCCTCTCATGGTATCTAGTATTAGAGTAAAATAAGACTTGTTTTAAAGCCCTCACATAATAACTGCATAAATTTGTATTTTTGAATATTGTTGATGCCTGTATTTCAAGAGTTAGTATAAAAGGAATGGGGCAATTGAGTCACTTCTTTATCATTTTCTTCTCATTTTATTCACCCTTCTTTCTTTCAGCTCAACAAGCATGCACCTGGCTTTCTCCATATATACACATATCTGTCCAGTTGACAATATGAATCCATTAGGAGCCATTACTGGCCACCACATCCCATCCAAACCTTCCCCATAAACAGTTATCTTCATAAAATCCAAGACTTTTCTTTCATAGCATTTATAACCAAAGTTAACTCTACACGTATAT